TAAATTTTCAAGTAGCTCTTGCTGATCCAAGGTCTAATTCCTGTTGTAAGATTCCTCCATAGTCACCTCGATAGTCTGTCATAAACCACTTTACCTTGTGTGTGGAGTTTAGAGCAGCTCATTAATCACATCTTCCTTCTGTACCAGGCATGACCAAAGTGAAAGTTGGGAAAGAAGATTCCTCCTCTGCAGAGTTCCTAGAAAAACGTCGGGCTGCTCTCGAGAGGTACAACCTCAATAGCTGTCCCTGACCAAAGGGAGGGACCTCTGAGAGGTCTGGTCTTGCCTGGTGGCATCACCAAAGTCCATGGGGAGGTAGGAAAATTGGTGGGTGAATTAGAACAGTTGTTGGCGTTGATTTCCTGCTTTCCAGCTGCTGTTCCAAAGTAAATACCAAGCATATCACAGCTCACTCTGATGGCTCATAGCCAGGTTTGCTGCTGCCAAAGTAACTCCTTCTGTGTGTTCCTCCCAACAGGTACCTCCGGAGAGTGGTCAACCATCCAACCATGCTGCAGGACCCGGACGTCAGGGAGTTCTTGGAAAAGGAGGAGGTCAGTAGTGTGGAATAAAGTAGCTCCAAGTTTTTTGTAAGTGCTGAAGGAAATGGTAGCTGAGCAGTTAAGGAGGCAGGATGTTGCAAAACTCCCCTGTTAGAGTGGGAATGGGAACTGGGATGGTGGGTTGACAGCAGGTACCCACCAAAGCTGCTCTATCATCCCATCAGCTGGACACAGGGAGAAAATATAATGAAAGGCTTATGGGTCAAGATAAGGGCAGGGAGAGATTCAGTCAGCACTGATTTTACCTCAGGCAAAATGGAATCATGGAATGGCTTGGATTGGAAGAGACCTTAAAACTCATCTCATTCCCACCCCCTGCTGTGGGCAGGGACACCTTCCACTAGACCAGGTTGCCCCAACCCCCATCCAACCTGGCCTTGAACACTTCCAGGGATGGGGCAGCCACTGCTGCTCTGGGCAACCTGTGCCAGGGCCTCACCACCCTCAAGGGTAAGGATTTCTCCCCAGTATCCCATCTAACCCTGCATTCCCCCTTGACCTGTCCCTCCAGACTCTTGTCCCAAGTCCCTCTCCAGCTCTCTTGGAACCCATTTAGGCTCAGGAAGGGACTCTAAGGTCTCTCCGGAGCCTTCTCTTCTCCGGGCTGAACACCCCCAGCTCTTCAGCCTGTCTCCATCTCTTCATATCTCAAAGAAAATTTTTCCATTCCTTTCCAGCTCCCAAGAGCAGTAGGCACCCAGACTCTGAGTGGAGCAGGAATACTGAAGATGTTCAACAAAGCTACAGATGCTGTCAGTAAAATGACCATCAAGATGAATGAATCAGACATAGTAAGCGGTTGGGACACCCTGGGTTGTCCCTGCCCTTGCTCCGGAGCCACATGCCCTTCCCAGCCCCAGCTTTGGGTGTGGGGTGCAGGGAAAGCCCATGTGTGGGAATCAACTGCAGATTTACCCTTTCCAGTGGTTCGAGGAGAAGCTGCAGGAGGTGGAGTGTGAGGACCAGCGGCTGCGGAAGCTGCACGCGGTGGTGGAGACCCTTGTGAACCACCGGAAAGGTGACTGGGTCGGCACCACGCACTCCGGGACTTGGGCTGTGACAGTCACACCCTGGGCAATGCCTGAGGGGGGTCAGCAGTGCTGCGTGTCCCAGGGACATTTCTGAGTCTCTTCGTCATGGGAGACAGAAGTAAAAATGTCACCCCAGTTCTTCTGTCCAGCTCCACAAGCTTGGGATGGTGGTGTGGAAGGGAACCCAGGTCTTACAGGATCACAGAATCCCAGAATAGTCTGGGTTGGAAGGGACCTTAAAGCTCATTTCATTCTATCCCTCTGCCCTGGGCAGGGACACCTTCAACTATCCCAGGTTGCTCCAAGCCCTGTCCAGTCTGGCCATCAACACTTCCAGGGATGGGGCAGCCACAGTTTCTCTGCCCAACCTGGACCAGGGCCTCTCCACACCTCACAGGGAAGAATTTCTTCCCAATATCCCATCTAACCCTGCCCTCTGGCAGTGGGAAGCCATTCCCCCTTGTCCTGTTCTCCAGGCCCCTGTCCAAAGTCCCTCTCCAGCTCTCCTGGAGCCCCTTTAGGCATTGGAAAGGGCTCTAAGGTCTCCCTGGAGCCTTCTCTTCTCCAGGCTGAACAGTCCCAATTCCCTCAGCCTTTCCTCATGGGAATGAAGGCTGCTGTAGCAAACCTGAGCAGAGCTGATCTTATTTACTCCTTCCCAGCCATGCTCTGGCAGGGAGTGGTGATGTTTTCCTTCCTCTGCATGTTTTGTCTGACTCCTGCAAAACTGTTCCTGTCCCCCTGCTTAGCTACTTCCCTTCTCCTTGTGGCTGGAAGCTGCTGGCTCTGACCTAGCCAGTGTTGGCCATTCCAGCTGATGTCTCCTGGGACTCAGCTCCTTGGGCTGAACCCTGGACTGGGGAGCACCCAATGCAACCCAGCCCATCTCCTGACTCTCATCCCTCTTCTAGAGCTGGCATTGAACACAGCCCAGTTTGCCAAGAGTTTGGCCATGCTGGGAAGCTCGGAGGACAACACGGCCCTGTCCCGGGCGCTGTCCCAGCTGGCTGAGGTGGAAGAGAAGATTGAACAGCTGCACCACGAACAGGCCAACAATGACTTCTTCCTCCTGGCTGAGCTCCTGGGGGACTACATCCGCCTGCTCTCGGTTGTGAGGGTAAGCACTGCTCCTGCTCCTTGTACCCAGCTTAGGCTTAGGGATGCCAGGAGGTCTTCCAAACTCAAGCAGAGGGCACACATGGCATGGCTGCTCCAGGAACAGGGAAACTTGTTGGTTGTCCAGGTGAGCATGTAGTTAGGTTGGAAAATTGTTGTAAGCAAGGCTTGGCCATGCTGCTGTTCTACAGGGGGAAGGTGGAGCAAGTTCACAGCTTGTAAGTGGCCTCAGCCCTTCCAGAGGTGAAGGCCGAGGCTGTGAGCTGATGACCTGCGATCTGGGTGGTGCAGATAGACCTGCCAAGAGCCTTAGTCTTCAAGTCTGGTGTTTTGGCGTTGTTGCTGGAGGCTTAAAGAAACAAATCCCAAGAGAACAGCAAGTCTTGCAGGCTGAGCCCTTCCCGCCCCAAACACATCCTGCCTCTGAGCAGGAGTTTCTGGAGGCTACAGAGGCCAGGACACAACCCCCCTTGTCTACCAGTCCATACTGGGATCTGTGGATGCTGGATGCTCCAGAGCAGGACCCAGTCTGTGTTCTGGCTCAGCTTTAGTCCAGCACCTGAGGTATCCCCTTGGCAAGTGTCTCCTTGCCAGCAGAGCCCCTTGGAGCTGCTCAGGCAGCACAGAGCTCAACCTCTGCCCCCTCCTTGGCTCCAGGGAGCCTTTGACCAGCGCATGAAGACCTGGCAGCGGTGGCAGGATGCCCAGACCATGCTGCAGAAGAAGAGGGAGATGGAGGCCAGGCTGCTGTGGGCCAACAAACCTGACAAGCTACAGCAGGCCAAGGAGGAGATCTCGGAGGTAGGGAATGAGGAGCATGGGATCTCTGCTCTGCTTCTGGCCTCCATGCTCTGGCAGGGGACCTTCTGGGCTGGGGAAAGGATCATTGGGGCTGGGGAGGACCTCCTGAGCAGGAGGAACAGGTGTATATGGCCAAGCTGCAACAAGGGATAAGCCAGCCTTGAGTCCTACCGAGCCCTCATGGTCCCATCTCCCGTGACTTCCCTGCTGAGCTTCCTGTGGTGAAGAGGACCGGGAACACTGGGCTCTGCTTCAGCAACACCTCTCACACATCCATTCGTGGCTACAGACACCCTTGGAGATGGGAGCAGGAGTTCCTTCCCCTGCCCCGAAACAGCACACTTCCTCTCTCCGCAGTGGGAGTCCCGTGTGACACAGTATGAAAGGGACTTTGAGCGCATTTCTGCTGTCATCCGCAAGGAAGTGATACGGTTTGAGGTATGTTTGGGGCAGCTCTTGGCCGGGAACGCCAGTCCGGGTCAGCCATGGGGCACCTGGGTATCCAGCAGTATCCATAAATCCAGACACGTGAGCTGGGGCATTGCTGAGGGCTTTTGGCTGAGGGGGCTTCTCCACAGCATATCTGTTCAAAGGAAGGTGGGTGGGCAAAGATCCTCTGTGTCCCAGGCCCTTGTGCCGGTCCTCTTGTGAGGCCTCAGGAAGGACAGGAAAATCTTGGCAGTTCCCCTTTCCAGAGGATTTTGGTGTTTGGTTCAGCCTCGTGCCCGTCTCTTGCAGAAAGAGAAATCCAAGGACTTCAGAAACCACGTCACAAAATACCTTGAGACATTGTTAAACTCTCAGCAACAGGTGAGTGGCCCCTAATGTGGTTTTACCTCCAAGTTCAGGCCCAGGTTGTGAACCCCTCAAGTGTCACCCCCCCGCCACTGCAGGTGCGTCCTCAAGGTTCCTGACTCTCTCTCTCTTGTCCCTGCAGCTGGTGAAGTACTGGGAAGCGTTCCTGCCTGAAGCCAAGGCCATTTCGTAATCAGACCGAGCGAACAAACCTGAATTTTGCCTTTTTTTTTTTTTTTTTTTTTTTAATATATATATACACTATACCTCCTCCTCTTTTCCACGTGAGCGACCCCTCGTTCCACACGCTGGAGCTGGTAGAGGTGTCACCCCCAGACAAGCAGCTTGCGAACCAGTAACTCTTCTAACTGTATATTTTTCATTTAGCAACATATATTTTCTTACTGAAGAAAAACTAGTTTCCTGCTTCCAGACCAGACCCGCAGCCAGGGGGTTATCAAGATCTGGCAAATGTCTATTTTTCAGGCTGGGTTTTAGGGCTCTAATGATTTATCTTACTCCTGCAGTGCCATTAAAATTCTGTAATAAAACTTCTGTATCAGGGCAAACAGGTTCTGAGTGTTGGGAGTGGGTGTGGGGAGGGCTAACAGCAGGTTCTGTGGGGTTTGCAGGAGGCAACAGAGCCTCTCCCCCGTGTTGTGTCAGGGACAGGGGTGACCTTGGACACTGCCCGGACCACCTGTCCCTGCTCCTGATTAGGCTTTGGCTCTCTGCCTTTCTCCCAGTGGGAGCCGTTTTTAGGATCTGAGCTCAGCAGGGGCTCTGTAGCAGTTCCACTTTGTGGCATTCCCTAAAATCCTTTGGGGCTGTGATGCTCAGGGATAGGTTTGCACCTTCAACCTCCCCCCAGCTCCCCCACGTGTGGATTTTACCAAAACCGATACCCTTTCTGCCTTAAAAAAGGGAAAACGCAGCTTGATCTGACTTCCCACTTTCCTTTCCCCATATCCCTGTAAAGCGGTGTCCTTGCGGCTCCTCTATTCTCCCCCGCCTTCCCCTGTGCTGGATGTGGGGCCACAGGACCCTCCCCGGGGTGCTTTGGGGACCGTGTCCCCGCCGTGGGCACTCGGGGCGGTCCCTCCCCGGCCCTTCCCCGCCCCGCGGCCCCCCCGCGCCATGATCGCCGTCTCCATTCCCGCGGCGGAGCCCCCGGCGGCTTCGCGCAGCCCCGACAGGGCACACACGGTGAGCGGGGACTCGGGGGGGTGGAGGTTTGGCTGCCCACGGGGGTCCCCGTCTGTCCAAGAAGGGGGGAGGGGGGAGGTGTCTCGCTCTGCACCGGGTCCCTGCGTGTCCCCAGGGGTCCTTGCCGGTGGAGGAGGGGGGGGCTGGTTCGGGGGTCCCCTGTTGAGGGGTTCTCGTCTCTCCCGACCTAGCCCCACGTGCCCTAGGACTGGAGTCGTCCGCGCTCCGGGGGATTTGTCTCATTCTGCTCCAGGGTTTGAAGGTCTCCGAGTGTCCCCAGGGGTTCCCCACCTGTCCCAGGAGTGGAGGCCCCTGTGTGTGGGGGCACAGACCCTCTACCTTTGAAAGGCGGGGTGGTGTCCCTGGTCTGGGAGTCCCTCTGTCCCCCGTGAATGGGGGTTACCGTCTGTCCGGGGAGGGGTAGATTCCTCTACCCCGGGGGCTGGAAGTCCCCAAGTGTCCCCAGGAGTGTCCTACCTGCCCCAGGGGTCCCTGCTGGTTGGGGAAGGGAGGGGAGCTTGGTCCAGGGATCCCCTATTGGAGAAGTCCCCGTCTCTCCAGACATGCCCCCGCCTGCCCTGGGACTGGAGGTCCTCAAGTTCCCACAGGAAACCCCACGTATTCTGGGGACGTGTTTGTTACCTGCTGCCCCAGGGGCTGGAGGTCCCCAAGTGTTCCCCGAAGAGTCCCCACCTGCCCCAGGGGCCAGAGGTCTCTGCCTGTGCTGAGTCCCTGCCTTGGGCACCATCTGCCCTTGAAATTGGGGGTGTTCCTCTACCCTGGGGATCATCTCTGACCCCAGAGGGGTAAGAGGGTCCATGTCTGTCCCCGGGTACCCCCATCTGGCCCGGTGGTGGGATGTTACCAAGTGCCACCCCTCCCCACCAGGATGTCCCCAAATGCCCAGGAGTGGCAGTCCCTGCCCCCACCCAGGGAATCCCTGCCAGGTGGGGGTGTAGGGGGAATGACACCGACCCTCTACCCATGGAAGGGATGTGGAAGGAATATCCCTGGTGAGAGTGTGCCCCCTCTGTTCCTGGGGGGAGTTCTTGTCACCCCCCTCTGCCCCTGGGGTGTGTCCTTCCCCCACGTGTCTTGGGGCAGGGTGGTCCCTGCCAGTGCACTCTCTACTCCTGAAACATGGGGTCCGTGGCCCAGGGGGTCCCCTCTGTTCCCAGGGGGTAGCTGAGTGTCCCCATCTGCCCTTGGCGATGACAATCCTGGGGCAAGCAGGGAAAGCTCCCCCTTTGCTCAGGAGGTTAGATGTCCCCCCTGTCCCCAGGGTGTCTCCCTGCCTGAGGAGTCCCCATACACCCCAGGGGGTGGATGTCCCCAGCTGCCCCTCTGGTCCTTGCTGGAGGGGGTCACTGGGGTGTCCCTGTCCTGGTGGGTCACCAGGGATTGAGGTCCCTGCCTGGGGACCCTCTGTGTTTGAAAGGGGGGGATTCCTGCTGGCCCTTGGTGGTGGTGGTAGTGTCTCCTGTTGGCTCCTGGTTGGCTCTGTTTCCCCCACAGAGGGTTCCCACTGGCCAGGGGGAGGGGGTTCATCTCCATCTGTCCCAGGATTTGGATGTCCTACGACCCTGAGGATGGTGAGGGCAATAAGGATAGTGAAGATGATGAGGACAGTAAGGATGAGGACAATGAGGATGGTGAGGATGATGGGGTTGGTGAGGATGATGAGGATGTTGAGAATGATGAGGCTGGTGAGGATGAGGCTGATGAGGTCTGCCCCCGTTGCAGGTGTTCCAGGTGGAGGTGCTGTGCAATGGCCGGCGGCACACAGTGACCAAGCGCTACAGTGAGTTCCAGGCGCTACACAAGCGGGTGAGACCCACTGCCTCTGCTGGAAGGGGACACAGGGAGGGGACACAAGGAGGTTCGTCCTTGTCCTCCCTGGCCCGTACTGCCCTGATGCCCTCCACACTCCCCCCCAGATCAAGAAGACCTGCAAGGTGCCCGACTTCCCCCCGCGCCATGTCCCCCACTGGATGCCCAAAGCACTGGAGCAGCGCCGGCAGGGCCTGGAGCTCTACCTGCAGGTGAGGTGCGTACAGCGGTGGGGTAGGGTGGGCTTTTCGGGGTACTGACCTGTCCTGGGCCACGGTAGGGTGTCCTGTACCACAATAAGGAGTTGCCCCACGATGTGCTGGACTTCCTGAAGGTACGGCGGTGCCAGCAGGACCCCAAGGCCAGCAGCCCCTTGTGAGTAGATGAGTTCTTCTGGCACCAGGGTTATCCTACACGGCACTGGGATCATCCCCCTGACCTGTTCTAAGTACCCCAAGACACAGGGTTGGGGACAATGGGGACAGGTTAGGGGCTGACATCCCCTCTCCCATGGCAGCAGACTCCTGCCTTCCCAGCGCCCTGTCATCAGCTTCTGCTCCGATCCGTACGTGGGGCCATGCGACACTGGTAAGGACCATGGAAGTCCCAAAAATCTCCAAAAGGCTCTTCTGGGGCCCTAAAAGATGTTTTTCCTTTAACGGGGCTCAGGAGGGAACCAGCTGCTCCAGCTCCCTCCTCTCCTTGCAGACCTGCTCCCCAACACAGTCCTCACCGGGGTCCTGCAGGGCCTTTACCTCCCCCTGAGCTGCAACCCCTGCCAGGCAGTGCCTTGAGCCCCTGGAATGCCAGGCTCCTGGGCACCCACACATCTCCCAGGGCTGCAGTGGTGAGGAAAGGAATCCTGTGGTGAAAAAGACTCCTTCACACTGGACTGGGGAAGGAAAACGGTGGGAGAACCCAAGGGGACAGTGGGAGCCACAACTGCACTCCCACCACCATCCAAAGTGCCTTGTCTGGGAGAGTAGGAGCTATGCTTTCTCCCTAATGTTTTGGGGTTGTGGTTGCAGCCTTTGGATGCTGAACTGTGCTGGAAAACCCCTCTGCATCTGGGCTTTGGTGCAATAAATCTCTTGGATTTCATTGCCTGGTAAAGTGGTGCACTGTGGAATTCTGCAAAGCAAACCTGGGGCCAACTGTGGCACTGCTCCCAGCTGGATGGGACACAGAAGAAGGGGGATGGAAGGCTGAGGGGTGCACACAGGTGAGGGATGGAAAGGGATCCGAGCCCTCCCCCGAAAGCAGGAGAGAGGCGGCTTTTTTAAAAAACACATTGGTCACATTTACTGGAGCATGTGCTTCTTACAAAAGTGATGGAAGGGGAGCCCGTGCCCCGTCCCCCTGGCTGGGAGAGGGGCCCGGGCAATGGGTCACAGCAGGACCCAGTGGTTGCTCCCCTGCCCCAGGAGCAGGGCAGCCCCAGGCCAGTGGCCCCTCACGTCCCAGCAGGTCCCCGGTGCCGGCCCTGCCACCCCTGCTGGTCCCTCACTCTTTGGCAATTGCAAAGGGCTTCTCCACCTCGATGGTGCCACAGTCAACGATGGCAACATCCTTCAGGGGCTTGTCCCGGCTGTCGGTCTTTGTATTCTCCACCTTCCGCACTACATCCTGGGTGGAGCAGAGGTGTGAGATGGAGACACACAGGCAGAGCCAGCTTGGCCAACCCCTGTCCCTCTCCAGGTGCCTCCCAGCCCATTCGCCTGCCCAGTCCCGCTCTCCCTGGCCCCCTTTTCCCCCTTGTCCTCTCACCATGCCCTCCAACACTTTGCCGAACACCACGTGCTTCCCGTCCAGCCAGGGCGTCTTCACGGTGGTGATGAAGAACTGGGAGCCGTTGGTGTCCTTGCCGGCATTGGCCATGCTCACCCAGCCCGGCCCATAGTGCTTCAGCTTGAAGTTCTCATCAGGGAAACGGTCCCCATAGATGCTTTTTCCTAAGAGTGGGGACAAAAAAGGCAGCATTGGGGTGGGGGTGACGATGATGGTGGGGGAGACGATGGTGGTGGGGGAATGAGCACTTCCAGAGTGGGGATTAACACCAACGCCACAGGGAACCATGAGCTATGGGCTGCTGGAGGGAGCTGGAAGCACCCCATGAGCTGGGCAGGGAGGGTCATGCCCCCAGGGACCAGAGCAGGAGGCTCCCAGCACCCCTGTTACCCCAACACCTAGCTCTGCTCTGAGGCCAGGTCTCCATGCGCACTCATTCCTGCATTGCTCCAGCTCCACACTGGTCCCAGGGCAGACAGGCAGGTGTTGGGAATGTGGCTGCTGCTTCACTCCCAGACAGTGGCTGGATGCCCAAGCTGGCGTGGGCCAAGTTACCTCCAGTGCCATCGCCGCGGGTGAAGTCTCCTCCCTGGATCATGAAGTCTTTGATCACACGGTGGAACTTGCTGCCCTTGAAGCCAAATCCTTTCTGGAGGTGAGGAGGAAGAACATGGAGTGAGGCAAAGGGATGGCCCAGAGCTCCCTGCACCCAGCACTGCCCCAGGGCAGTAGGGGCCTCCCAGGGGCAGGGGAGGCCCAGGGGGCCGTGGGCCCCTCACCTCTCCGGTGGCCAACGCCACAAAGTTCTCCACTGTCTTGGGCACTGTTTTGCCGAAGAGCCCGATGACGACGCGGCCCACGTCCTCCTCCCCGATCCGCAGGTCGAAGAACACCTTGAGGGGTGCAGGAAGGTTAGGGGGGCACCAGGGGAGCCACCCTCACCTTGTTGGGCCAACCCTCCTCCCAAAAGTCCCACTCACCCAGTCCAACCAGGCCCAAAATCTCACTGGGTCCGATCTCCCCCGCCTCCCTGCCTGCATCCCCTTGCTCCACAATCTCAGCTGGACCCCCCCAACACAGGCCTTCAGCCCAGGCCTCTCCCACCCCATCCAGGTCCCCCTCACTCCACACTCCTTCCTCCTCACTCCAAGCTGGGCCTCCCCCACCTCAGCTCCCTCCGCGCTGGGCCAAACTGCCCCCAGGCTTCCTCCCTCAGTCAAAGACCCCCCCATCCCAGGTGTCCGCCCCTCCCAAGCCCTCCTCCCTCAAGGCCTCCCACCACACCCCCCCCTCCATCCGGGCCCCCATAGCCCATCCAGGCCCCCCTCACCCCAACAACTCCGTCCAGGCCTCCCCCGCCCCATTCGCGTCCCTCGCGCCGGCCCCGGCCCGGCCCCCCCGACCTTGGCGGTGACCTTGGGCCCCTTCTTGCGCTCGTCGGCGCGGGAAGCTGCGGGCAGCAGAAGCAGAAGGGCCGCGCCCAGCGCCGCCGCCGCCACCAGCACCTTCATCCTGCGCCGCTCGCAGCCCGGCCACAGCGCCCGCCGCGCCGCCGGCATCCGGCCACGCCCGCCGCGCACCCCCAACCGCTTCGCGCGGTGGTACCGCCCGCGCTGCCGCCCGCCCGCTCTGCCCGCCTGGGCGCGACCAACGACGGCAGCGACGGGGGGGCAGATGGTGCCTTCCGGCCGGGCGGGGCGCGGGAGGCTGCCACGTTACCCCTCGCTGGGCGGCCGCGGCGCTGTCAATCAAGAGAAGAATGGCGCGATGATTGGACGTCGTAGAGAGGGGTGGGGCCGAGGGATGTCGGCGGCCAATGGGCGCGGCCGCAGAGCGGGGGCGGGGCCGGTGAGCAGGGCCGGTGTGTCCCGGTGCCCACGCCGAGGCCCGTGGGCTGTTTTCCCCAAGGTTACTGTGTTCGGTGTCTCCCGGGCCCGTTGTGCCCCCTGTGTCAGCGGGTCCGGTGTCCCCAGCGGGCAGGGGGACACTGAACAGCCAAAGCAAAGGAGTGCTCGGTCCCGCCGGGAGGCCGAGTCGAGCCAAATGGCTACGAGTCAGTGTCAGTGAACAGAACGGCGTTATAAAGATGCCACCCGAGAGCCAAACAGGACCTTTGGAGCAGCTGTCACTGTCCCCACACAGGGAGAGCACTTGAACAAAAAAAAAAAAACGGGCTTGGAACCTGCTCTGCGCTGGGATCGCTCTTGGGACACTTTCCCCCCCACTTCCTAGCCTTAAATGTAGCTTTTTTAGTATGAGCTCTCATTGCCTGTTCCCAAAAATTGTTTTTCGGGATATGTGTGTTCTGACAAGGAGACGAACCTCAAGCATCTCCTCCCTAGCCCATAGAACCTGTGACTTCACCTTTGAGGTTTGTCTTTTGGGGGACTGACACTGACTCAGAGCTGACACTAAATAAAAACATAATCCCCACATATTCATCTAACTCCAGGATTTGTAATCACAGATTGGTTTTGGGTAGAAAGGACCTTCAAAAGTCCAACTCCTGCCACTGGGCAGGGACATCTTCAGTGATGGTGCTAAGCTACAACACCGCAGTCACGCCTGTGCGCTTCCAGCCTGGTCATCCTGCTATTTAAGAGGAATTGGGCTTCACTCCCTTTTTCAGTTTTTATCCCAAAGCCTGACCCACTCTTCAGTCTTGCCAGGGGAGGAGGCGAGGCAGGCAGGTCCCTGCACACCTTTCCCTGTGGTGCCTCTCAAGGGCTGCCCCAGGACAAGGCATCCTATTACTCAGAACAGCTGGGAATGTGCAGGCACAGAGAGAAGGGAAAGCAGTACCACCATGCCTTGGCCAAGCTCTGTGGGGCCAAACCATCCAGGGCTCAACACAAAGTTGTTGAGAAGGTCCTGCCAGGTCCCACTCTGTACACTGTCCCCTCCAAGGAGGGCTCGTGTCCAGTGGAGCCAAAGGAAAACAAAACACAAGCACCATGCTCTCAGGTTGAGGTAATAAATACATCTATTCATGGAGAACAATGCAGCAGTGCAATGTTTTATTGAAAAAAAATAATAATAATCATCTCACTTGATACCTCAGAAGACTGCATCGCAACGTTGGCGGGCTGAGCCGCAGAGAAACACACTGGAGACCAGCCCAGCCCTCAGGGAGCCCCCAGAGAGACCCCTCCCCTTCAACCCCAGGGTTTCCCTGCTCTGACTGCTCCTGAGGGTTTGCCCCGGTTAATGCCTGAGTCCTACCACAGCATGGCTGGCTCAGTCTGGCTGCATCTCCTCGTCACCTCCGAGCTCCCTGGGGACAGCGGTTCCCTCAAGAACGGGACTTGCTGTTAACCTGTTTTATTTGCTTTTTTTTTTTTTAATTTTTTGTTAAAAAGCCACCCCACATCTTTGCCCTTTTTGTTTGAAGAGTCCAACGTACGATTATAGTGCAAGAGGGCTTGGTACAAGTGAGCATTACCAGCATGCCGTGGGGGGACAGTCCTCCCCTACAAACACATCATTGTAGGATTAAAAGAACATTGTATCTCCGGAGAGAAGCCGTAGTGGGTCACCATGAAACAGCTTTCAAACCAACCCACTTAAAACCAAGGTCAGGAAAAGTTTCTAAACAATCAAATACATTCACTTAAAAAAAACAAAACAAAACAAAAAAACCCAAAAAACTGAAACAAAAGAAACCAAAAACATTTAAGAACAAAACCTGTTGAGATGGCCCCTTTCCCCCCCGCCCTCCCTCACCCTGCAAACACTTACATATGCTGCAACTACAAGCTGCTCCTTGAGCGGAGGCAGCGAGGAATGACCAAACACGGCAGGAGATGCAGAAGGAATCGAGTTCTGGTGACAGGCACTTAGTGGGGCTTGGGAGGGCAGCAACAGAAGTGTCTCAGGGCCTGGCTCTGTCTGCAGCGGGCAGGGCAGCTCCCGAGGAGCATCCATGCTCCTGGACCCCCCCTCCCAAGACACCAAACCACGGTTTCCTACAGCAGAGAGGGGAATGCCTGTGCCAGAGACATGGAGCCCCTGGGAGCCCCTGGCAGTAGAGGAGTTCGGGAAGAGAAAGGTGGAATGTGGCCACAGTCCCTGTCCTTCCTCTGGCAGAAGGGGACAAGAGGGTGAATGTCCTGGCAGGAGGTGAGGGGGTCCCTTTCCTGCCTCCTTCCTGCCCTGGCCCACGGCACAGCTGGAGGAAAGCACTTTGCAAAGGGAGAAAGGGGTGCACATGTGAGCCGAGAACTCCTTGGGATAAGGCATGGAGAGAACACAGCCAAGAGACACCCCGGAGGGGTCCCGGTAAGGAGCGAGGCCTTTCTGCTCTAACCAGTATCCTGCCTGTCTCA